TACTATTGTTGTTCAGTTGTTTCAGTCTTGCCTGACTCTTTGTGACCCCATTTGGAGTTTTCTTGGCAAAGATACTGGAGTGGTTTGCCATTTCCTTCTCCAGCTCATTTTACAGATGAGGAAACTGAGGATAACAGGGTTAAGTGACTTGCTCAGGGATACCCAGCTAGTCAGTATCTGAGGTCAGATTTGAACTCAGGTCTTCCAGGCTCCAGGCTTGGCACTCTATCTGCTGTGCCACCTAGCTGTCCTCTCTTTAAGTCTTCATGATATTGCTCTTTCCTGGTTCTCTTTGTTAATCTCTTTTTTTGCTGGATCTCCATCTGTAATGTGGCCACTAATTGTGGGTATCTCCCAAGGCTCTGTCCTAAGCCTTTTTCTCATTTCCCTCTATACTGTCTCACTTGGTAATTTCATTAGCTCTCATGGGTTCATCTCTGTGCCCGTGATTCTCAGATCTATATATCCAGTCTGAACTTCTCTACTGAGCTACAGTCCTACATCATCAACTGCCTTTTGGACATCTCAGATTGGAAAATCTTTAGGTATCTCAAACCTAGCAGGTCCAGAACAGAATGCAACATCTTTCTTTAAAAAAAAAATATTTCTTTCAGTTATTAAAAATTGGTTTTCTCTTCCTCCCACTCCTTCCATTGGGGGAAAAAAAGAAAAAAAATTCTTGTATAAATATATATATAGTCAAGCAAAACACATTTCACATCTCATTATATTACCAACCTTTCCCCTACGCCGTTCCCAGGTATTCTGTTACTAAGGGCACCACCATTCTCCCAGTCACCCTCGCTAACAACTTCGGTGTTATCCTTGACTCTTATACTCATCCCACATATCCAGTCTTGTCAAATCTTGTCCTTTCTACCTTCACAACATCTTCATCATATGTCCCTTTCTACTTATACAGACACCACCCTTATGGAGGCCGTCATCACCACATATGCTATTGCAGTAGTCTTCTAACTGGTCTCCCTGCCTCAAGTGCCTTCCTATCCAATCCCTCTTCTCCTCAGCTGCCAAAATGATTTTCCAGTGAACGTCTGACCATGTCACCCCTTTACTCAATAAACTTCAGTGGCTCCCTCTTACCTCCAGAATCAATGTAAAATACTCTGACATTTAAAGCCCTTCAAAATCTTGCTGCTTCCTCCTTTTCCAATCATAATACTTTTCTCCCTTCTACATATTCTCTGTTCCTGCTCCATTGGCTTACTGGCTGATCCTTGAAAATCACACGGCCTGAAATACTCTTCTTTGATGCCTCCTATTCCTAGCTTCCCTGCTTTCCTTCAAGATTTAGATAAAATCCCAATTCTTCGACTTTTACTGTTCACATTATTGTTAACTTTCTCTCTCCCCCACCCCCCATCCTGCCTTTCTTTGTAATTAACAAATGCTTATTGACTTGACTGTATGAGTACAAAATGTGGTTGTTTTGGGAGGAAGGGCTACAGGGGCAGTGTAAGAGTTCATTTTTCATGGAAAAAGATCTGAAATGTGAGGAAAGATCTGACGGTTTTAGTGGTGTCCGCACTCATTATGATTATGACATGGTAACCAAAAATATCAACATGACCTTGAGCTGCATTAAAGGAGCCATAATGCCAGAATAAGAGGGTTAATAGTTCTGTACTCTGTCTTGGTCAGATCATACCTGGAGTTTAGGTCTGGCTGCCACATTTTAGGAAGAATACTAGTATGTTTGGAGGCATGTACAGAAGAAGGCATCTAGTGTTGTGAGAGACTTGGAGGTAATGCCACATGAAAAGGAGCTGGTATTGTTGAGTGAGTCATAGAGAAGAGAAGACAAGTTGGGGATATGAGAGCTTTCTTCTTGGTCCCAGAGAACAGAATTAAGAGATTTAGGCTAAATAGAAGGGAACCTTTCTAACAATTAACTCTGTCTAAAAGTGGAATGGATGGCCTTGGGAGATTGTGGGTTCTTCCTCAATGGATTTCTCCATTTGGAGGCTAGCTGATTTCTTGTCAAAGGTATTATTAGATAGCCAATTCCTAGATTTGTAATTTTTCAAGTTTGGCTTTAAAAGATAAAGGGTTAGAATTCATTTAGCTACTTATCATTCCATTTCTTACCTCTCCTCTCCTTTTCACAGTCAGACTTCTTGAGAAAGTTGTTCACTTAGCTTTCTTACTACTCTCTCTGCTCACTCCCTCTTATCATATGACTTCTGGGGCAGCTAGGTTGTGCAGTTAATAGAGCACTGGCCCTGGAGTCAGGAGGACCTGAGTTCAGATCCGGCCTCAGACACNCAAAGAACAAACAAACAAAAAACCAAGAACATATCATGTAACTTCTAATCCCACCCCAGCCCCATTCTGTTATAATCACTGTCCTTTTTTATACCCTATTATTTTCATGTCTCCTTACCTGTGCTGATGCTGTTCCTTATTTGTTGATAGTAATACTGATTTGACGATTTATGAACTTTTGAGTAATCCTCAGACCTTCTCTGATTAAAGTTTAGCATTGGATATTAAAATAGGCAGACTACAACTTAACTCAGGGGTACTATTCTGTTGCAGGTGACTGTATGTGGTAATGAACTTTGCCTTTTGAACTCACACTTCGAGAGCACCAGAAACCATGCTCGGGAACGGATGAATCAGCTAAAAATGGTGTTAAAGAAAATGCAAGAAGTCCCAGAGTCAGTTACAGTTATATTTGGAGGAGATACAAATTTAAGGGACCATGAAGTGAGTTACAGTGTATCATTTCAGTGTTTCATGTAGTAAACTGGTTGATTTGTTTTTCTTTTCTCTCTTATGTGGCCACAGGATTTCAGAGTAAGGAACCTTGGTGGTTTCCTAGTTCAGCCTATAACTTAAAAATAATCACCTCTGCAGCTTACTTTACAAGTGGTCATCCAGACTTGACTTGAAGAACTCCAATGAAGGGCTTCTTCCCAAGATGGCCCATTCTACTTTGAACTACTTTTCAGTTGTTAGGAAACTTTTCTTATGTGAATCAATCAGCAAGTATTTATTAAGGCTCTTCTGTGGGCCAGGGACTCTGCTAAGACTGGGGATACCCATAAAAAACAGAGGCAAGTCAGTCCTTGCCCTGAAAAAGCTTACCTTTTACTTCAGAAGACCCTTGTTGCTTCTTTGCAACAAAAAATGGATAATGTGACCCATTCTATTAAGCCCAGGTCTTTAATTGACCTGTTATATGCACAAACCATAATGTATATCATCCTAATTCTGCAATTATTTACTGAGTGTCTGCTATGTTGCAAGTACTCTTTTAGGTAGAATGGGGTATATAAGTGTAAGACGTGATCATTGACCATAAAGATCTTACAATCTTATTAGAGAAACAAAACATGAGCTAGGTAATGATCTGAGAGTTTATGATTAAGTACTAAGAGAAGTCATGCAGATAATATCTGCTGTAGGAGTTCAGAGCAGGGAACAGTCAGTGTGGACTTGAGTAGTCAAGGAAATCTTGGAATGGCAGTATATCCTAGTGGACAGAATGTTATTTGTGGTATCAGAAAGACCTGGCTACCAGTGCTTTCTCAGACGTGAGGTGTTTGACCACTGAACTTCTGGGACACTAGACTCAGTGACCACTAAGGTCCCTTCTAGCTCTGAATCCAAGGTCCTATGATTTGAGGTGGTAATACTTGATCTGGGCCTTAAAAGGATGGGTAAGAGCTGGTGAGCAGAGAATATGAGAGGGGAAGGAAGGAGACAAACATTTATTAAATGCTTACTATGTGCCAGGCATTAAATGCCCAGTACTTTACAAAAATTATGTCATTTGATCCTCACATCTTGGGAGATAGATGTTGTTATTATCATCCTCACTTTATAGTTGAGGAAACTGAGGCAGACAGGTTCTTGTGACTTGCTTACTTGCTCCAGGATCATTCAGTTAAGTGCCTGAGGCTGGATTTGAACTCATATCTTGACTTCAGGCCCAGTGCTCTATCCACTCTGCTACCTTAGCTTCCAAGGAGCTGTATAAGCCAAGAGCTGTAGGTAGTAGATATGTTTGGGAAAGAATGAAAAACCTGCCCTGCTTGAAGCCAAATTGCTGTGGTGGAAGTGAGAGAAAGTTAGAATAGGTACAGTTAAGCTGGTCATGGCCTCTAAGTCTGAGGACTCAGACCCTTGAGTTTACTGTATGTAATGAAAGTTTTATGTTCCATTGGAAATATGTTGGGAGTTCTAGCCAATAGGGCCTAAAACTGAAACTGCTATTTCTCTCAGGCTTTCCCAATATTATGGCTAATCCTTTAAGAGTTGCCTGAGAAGCATCCAAGTAGGCACTATGTAAGTGAGAAGGATGTGCAACAGGAAGGTCTGTTTTAAATATATAAACTCCCTAGACGATAGGACTCTGTCTTTTGTTTCTGGTTTTTTTTGTGCCTTTTGTGTATTCTGTGCCATGCTTGGCATAGGATGGAGACCCCATAAATTGTATAGTGTTAGACTTGGCTTTCCTTTTTACTTCCTGCTCTGTAGTTTATATCACAGTGAAATTGAACTGAAATGGAGGTATTGATTCACTTCTGCTTTGCTACAAAAGGGTGTTCTGGGTAAATTAAACCTCCCATTCTGTGCTCAGATGCGTCTCCAAATAAAACCATTTTCTTCTCCGATCCCAGTGACATTATACCTTAGTTTACATATCTAAAATTATTTAAGATCACAATTTTTCTGGGACTCCTGACAGTCCTTGGATATAATATAGCATGTAATAGTGTGATGGCATGTGTACTGGACTTAGAGTTGGGTGAGACCTGGATTCAAATTCATACCCCAGCTAGACTAGTGGTGTGGCCTTGCACAGGTCACTTGACCTCTTTAAACTTGTTTCCTTATCTATAAAATGGGGATATTAATTAGGGCTGTCCTGAGGAAAGTGAATTGTAAACAAAGT